GGGGAGACTTTCCTGTGGACCCTTTTGTGCCTTTTGAACCATAGCTCATGAAACTGTCACCTACAGTTGTCAAAAGATGAAAGCCACCCTGGGTGCAGCCTGAGCTGCAGTGGCTTGGAGCATCTGCCCTGGCTCTGCTGCCTCTGGGTTCTGACCAATGAGCCAGAGGTCATGGTGTCAAGGGTGTGGGTTAACCCTTCTACCCAGGGGTAGAAGTTGGGGTGACTTCTTGGCTCCCACAGCAAAGGCAGGCTCCTTGAACAGCATGAGGCAGCAGCCCAGCACTGTTACCAGAGGGTGGACTGGGGACTCAGATGCTCCAGTTCAGACCCCAGCTCTTAGCTCAGCAGTCCAGGGGGGAGTTCCTTGGTCTCTCAGGGCCTTGGTTTCCTCTGCTGCGAGATGGGGCAAGCCACGGCAGCTCCCTCACAGCATCCTCAGTGGGGCACGTAGGACTCCTGGCGCCCCCGAGCTGGGCAGGCCTTAGCTATTATTATTCTCATCTCTCCTGAAGGTGACACTGTTCCGGGCAGTGGGAACCCGGCGCTGCAGTGCCATCTGCTGTCGCACGGCCCCATCTGGCTCTCACACCAGCAGGTACTGAGACGCAAGAGCGTGTGCTCACGTCAGCCCTGCGCAGACTGGGCTCAGCAGCTGCTTGCGGATTCCAAAAGCATCTTCATGCTGCTGAGTCAAATGCCGTGAAACACCTTGTTCCCTGTGTGAGGAAGTGACTCAGCCGATGTGCAAGGAAATGCAGGCAGCCCTTGCCCTGTTTCAGGCAGGGACCCCAAGGGAGGGTGTGAGGCCTGTCCTTCGTGGGGAAAGCCAGTTTCCCACCACTCTTGAGGTCACATCCTATTGTCTGGACAGGGAGTGAGGCTTCCTGAGGTCTGGCTGGGGTTCCTTGTCTGCTGACACTGTGATCAGGACCTTGTTGAAATTATGCCCCATTACCCCAGAAACCCTGAAGGAACCCCTTTAAATTCAAGGAACAAAAGGCCTTCAGTGATGAGGGTGCGCAACTCACCTTCACCCCAGGTGGGCACTGGGGTCCTGTGCTCATCCCCATTAGTAGGAGAGCCTGCTCCAGGCAGCAGGCTGGAAGGGAGTGTGCTCAGCAATCATTCATGAGGCCCTTTTCTCCTCAAAGGTCAAGTTTTGGCATTTTTAGGTGCTTTTCTGGAGCTCTTGTTAATATCAGATTTAGACCCATCAATTTTCTTCCAAAGAAGGGGGAGGGGGGCGATGAGGTATAGAGGAAGCTGTGTGTGGATCATTTTGAAAGCTGGGTGACATTGTCCATTTTACAATGAATATTCTATATTTTGAATGGAAAAAGAACCAATAGATATAATCCTATTTTACAAACAATTTTGTTTTCATCCAAAGTCACTGCATATAAGGCAATCTTTTCCTATTCTCGGAGAAATCCCCCAAGTTATAGGGCCAGGTCCGATGGTGCAGTAGGGGTTTGGTGTCCTTCCTGGGGTGTCTGCCTCCATTTCTGACCCTTGGCCCTGAGAATTTACCCTGGTCTAGCCTGGACCTAGCAGTTTATCCAGTTCTTGGTTTTAGGTCCAGGGAGTGATGGAAATCCTAACAATGGTGTGTGTTTGGGTCTCACAAATGATTCAGGCCTTTTCATAAAAACATTGATAATGACTTCCATAGACCAAAAAGGGAAAAAAAATTGCCCCCAAAAAACAGAAGAAAAGGAAACGAAGCCAGCACTAAAATAGCTACATTTCAGAAAATAGACATTTAAGAGCCTCAGGATCTTCCTGTCCTAGAAGACTGCATCTTAGCACAAAAAAGCCAGTACAACCTCATAGCCCTCGACTGGTCCCTCCCACTCATCTCTCTTCAAGGACACCGGTCAGCCTTTGTCTGCCTCTCTCTTGCCCCCACTATTTCCTCCTCTGCCATGTGCCAGGCCCTGCTTCTGCAAAAATGAACAGCAGATGGGCCTGAGAAGCGCATAGTGTTGAAAGGAAGACAGGCCCATTAGCCTGTAATGTGGGTATTTGTCTGCACCCTTGGTGAGAATCCCAGAACCCCTGCCAGAGGCAGTCAGGGAAAGCCTCCGAGAGGAGGTGATATTTGTCCTGAGTTTTGGGAAATACATAGGCATTGACCGGAAAGTTAGTAGGAGGAAGGGAATTTCTAGCTGAGGGAACAGCCGGAGCAAAAACCAGAAGTTTGAAAGACAGTGTTGCTTTTGAAGAGTAAATTCATTTAGAGAATTCAGAACAGAGTGGAAAAATATTTAGTAGCAGTGGGGAACCATCAAAGATTTTTCAACATGAAAGGAATGTGAACAGAGCCCAGTCAGCTCACCCCCTGCTCTCTGAAAATCTTGTGCCTCTTTCTGGTTGAAATCCATCCAACGACCCAGAGCCCGCCCACTTGGTCCTGGTTTCCAGCTGATTGGTGGAGCTGTCATGATTGACATCCAAAGCATCAGAAAAACCGGTATGCCTTCCAGACATGAGTCAGCCCTCTGCCTGTTTCTGGAACATCCAAGAGGATCATATTTTTAAAAGGCCAGGAGAGGGGAGCTCCAGAAGTCCTTTCTCAGTGGAGTATGATTATGCTCTTTTCCTTTTCTGTAATCTCCAAATTTCTCTTAGTAGCATGGATAGGCTCCTATTTCCTTATCCGCAATACAAAAACCCAAGTAGTCATGAAAAACAAGTTTTTTTTTTCTTTCTCCCAGAACTCATTTGGTGTGAAAATGACCCGAACAGATGTGAGCCTATTTATAGTCTTTATTGGTTCTCTTGGTGTGAATATTCATTTTCTGCTGCAAAAATACTAATGTGTCTGATTACAGGGTGCTGCCCCGACCCCCGCTGGGAGTGTTATGTGATTACATGGCATATGCACCATGGTACCTTCCTAAAATAAAATTAGAATGAAAGTCTGAATTCCAAAAGCAGCCTAGCCCCAGAGCTTTAAGATAAAGAAAGTGCTTTTGTAAAGAAGATGACATTTCAAGCATGGCCCTCAGCGCTGTGGGAAAACCCTGCTCGTTTCTCCACTGTTCTAGATGCTCCCCTAGGACCATTTAAAACTGCGTTCACCTGACCTCCCTTCCCCACACATCTCATCTCCAGCAGATGATTTCACTTCCAACTTTACCTCGGAGACTGAAGCTAGCAAGACAAAAGCTGGCTCGGAAGATAGACATGGAAATGGACAATTGACCTTTGGACAAGATGGGTTTGAACTGCTCAGAACCGCTTAAACATGGATTTTTTTTTCTATCCATGGTTCTGCATTCATGGATTCCAGCAAACTTGGTTGAATCCTGGGAATGGAAACCCGAGGCTACAGAAGGGTGACGATAAGTTTTGCTGCAGTTGTTCAAGGGCCAACTGTACAAACCTGTCTGCAGCTCCTCCATCCTGTCCTTCTCCTCTGGTCTCAAATGGGCTGCTTAAGGGTGTCCCATGGGAGACAGCTGCCCGCCCTCTACTGACTTTATCCCTCCTCCAGACACAGCCCTGTCTTTCTCCTTCCTCTCTTGACTAGGCTAGTGGATTTGCTTATCTGCGTTTCCTCTTTAGGGAAGGAAAAAGAATTTTCCTTTGCCTTTCTAGGTTCTTGGCTAAGACCCCTTGTATAAAAGACAGATTACTGGGAGGGGGAAAATGATGTGTACAGGAGCCCCTTAAAGATTGGAGATGCAGAAGCCAGACTGCTGAGGCTTCTCCACCGCTGAACTAAGGGAAGGGGCAGGGGCCTGAGGCGCAAAGGGGGAAGGCGATTAGGGGTGGGGGTGAGCAGAGGAAATGGTTTGATAAACAAAGCTTGCACTGCCAGGCAGCTCAATATCAGGTGAATAAATCTCTAAGCAGCTCTGGTAATAGCTGTTGTCCAATGTAAATTTTCCTTAAGAAAGGGGAGCTTTGGGGCCTCCCTGGTGGCGCAGGGGTTAAAATCTCAGCGCTATCAGCTATCGCCAGCCACTGTGGCATGAGTTCGATCCCCTCAGCAGTGTATTTCAGTACATCTGCCTGTTCTGCTCCCCACTCTGTCTCTGGTGAATCCTCTCACCTCCCGCACCTCTGGCCTGCACCCCAGCTCTTGTGTGCATAAAGAAAAACAAATCTTTAAAAAATAAAAAAAGAAAGGGGAGCTTTTACTCTGATTCCAGAACTTTTGTTTCTCAGAATAATCAGCTCAAAATCATCTTTCTTCCAAAAAGACTTATTTGGGGGTGGTTTGTTCTGCTCCCCTTGCCCTCTGTTTCTTCCCCTCTTGCTTTGCGAACTCCCTTCCCTGCTGCTTGGCTTCTGGCCCCAGGCCCTCCTGGAACAGCCTGATCAGCCGGCCTGGACACCTTGCTGTAGCATCTTCCATTGCGTAGCCTTGGCCCCTCCTCCGGGTGGGCTTCCTTCTTGGTGTCCTGCGATCCAGACCGCGCTGGCTTTTCCTCTTATTGCTACTGCTTCTCACCCTCCCTTGTAAGATCCTCTTTCTTTTCAGCTTCCTCTAACTTGGAGATCTTTTTTTTTTTTTAAAGATTTTATTTATTTTTGCATTGAAGAAATGGGGTGCAGGCCAGAGGTGCGGGGAATGAGAGGATTCACCAGAGACAGAGTAGGGAGCAGAGCAGGTGGATTGACTGAAAAACATTGCTGAGGGGAGCAGCGGGCAAGACAGGAGAGGTCTCCTGCACCATGTGGGTCAGCTCCCAGGCTGGGGATTGAACTGAGGCCTTCATGGTGGTAGCGCTGAGACTTAATCCCTAGGCCACCAGGGAGGCCCAAACTTGGAGGTCTTGACCTGGCCTGGATGCTAGGCGTCTCTTTGTCTTCCACATGGAGAACCCGGATAAGAGGGGCTGGGGACTTGCCAGGGTCCCACAGCCACAGCTCTTCCCCACTGTGCTGAGCTGCCTAAAAGGGGGGATAGTGGGAGCCCCAAAACAGGTGAATAAAATCATCGTCTGTGTGTCTCTTCCCCTGTCTCATGCCCGCCCCCTCCCATAGCTGGACAAGATGCTGGACCCCCAGGTGTGGCGGGAGGCAGCCACCCAGGTCTTCTTCGCCCTGGGGCTGGGCTTCGGGGGTGTCATCGCCTTCTCCAGCTACAACAAGCAGGACAACAACTGCCACTTCGATGCCGCCCTGGTGTCCTTCATCAACTTCTTCACCTCGGTGCTGGCCACCCTCGTGGTGTTCGCCGTGCTGGGTTTCAAGGCCAACATCATGAATGAGAAGTGTGTGGTCGAGTAGGTGGCATCTCCCCTCTGCCCTTTCTTCTCCCAGGAGGGGCAGGCGAGCTGTGGATGGACAGAGCCAGGCACCCAAGCTGGGGGAGGGGCCTCAGAGGAGCCCTCTCCGCCCCCAGCTGTGAGGTTCACCTGTCCCTGGATGTCTGGGAGGGGCCTCCGGGATCTTGCCCACCATGGCCTTTTGACCTGGCCCTCTTCCCTCTCTCCGGCAGGAATGCTGAGAAAATCCTGAGATACCTCAACACCAACGTCCTGAGCCGGGATCTGATCCCTCCCCATGTCAACTTCTCCCACCTGACCACCAAGGACTACTCGGAGATGTACAAGGTCATCATGACAGTGAAGGAGGACCAGTTCTCAGCCCTGGGCCTTGATCCCTGCCTTCTGGAGGATGAGCTGGACAAGGTGGGTCAGGTTGACCTTTCCAGAACAGGTGGGCAGGCAGACGTGGGAGTCCAGAACCTCCACGTGAGCATGTGAATGACAAAAGCATACACTCGCACAGGTGGAGGATATGTCCCTCATGATTCCTGGACATTACTGGACAACATAGAAGTGGTGTCAGTGGGTGGTATGTGGTCAGTTTCACTGTGAGCAGGATCCCAAGCTTCAATTAAAGCAGTGGTTCTCTCCAGTAGCTGCCCATCACTGTCAGCTGGGGGTTTTCAAAACCCCAATACCCAGCTTCACCCCCAGAGTGATCAAATCACTGTCTCTGGGGTAAGACCCAGGGTTGGGTGTTTTTATTTTATTTATTTACTTTTTTAAGATTTATTTATTTATACAAGAACCAGGGTACAGACCAGATGTGCGGGAGGGTAAGAGGATTCACCAGAGACAGAGTGGGGAACAGAACAGGCAGACTGATGAAATACACTGCTGAGGGGAGCAGCGGGCGAGACAGGAGAGGTCTGCTGCTCCATGTGGGTTTCTTCCTGGCCGGCCGGGATCAAACCCGCGCCACAGAGGCTGCGGACAGCTTCACAGTGTGGCACTCAACCACCTACGCCACCAGGGAGGTCCAGTTGGGTGATTTTAAAGGCTGTAATGTGATTTCACTGAGCAACTGCAGTTGAGGCCTAGATGTCAGAACTGAGAGCTGCCACAGTTGTGGCTGGAGAAATCAGGGAAGACTTCTTGGAGGAGGGTCTTGAGCATCTTCATATGAATCACCTGGGGTCCTTGTACCGCCGTAGATTCCAGGTCCCATAGGGGGACTCTGGAATTGGTGTTTTTTCCTCTGGGGAGTTGAGTCAGATACCCACTCAAGTTTAGGACCCAGTGATCAAAAATGACAGAATGTTGTTGGGGGTGGGGTGCCTGTGAAAGCAGGAATAGCTATTCCTAAAGCCCCAAGGGCAGCATTGCAGGGGGCTGTGGGTTGGATGTGGGCCCTCACTGAGCCTTTGCCCTTTACTCCCACCCTCAGTCCGTGCAGGGCACAGGCCTGGCCTTCATTGCCTTCACCGAGGCCATGACGCACTTCCCCGCCTCCCCATTCTGGTCTGTCATGTTCTTCCTGATGCTCATCAACCTGGGCCTGGGGAGCATGATTGGAACCATGGCGGGCATCACCACGCCCATCATCGATACCTTCAAGGTGCCCAAGGAGATGTTCACAGGTAACCCCCATTGGCAGCCCCCACGAGCCTTGTGGCTGTCCTCAGTGACAGGGTCAGGTTGTGGCTCTGACAGTAGAACGACTGGCTTCTGACCGGGTCATTCACAACTCCATGCCCAGAAGGCCCCAATCCCCCAACCCCATCTGGGATATGGTGGGGCCTGGCCATACCAGGGAGAAGGGCACTCATGAGGCAAGAGGAATAGGCTGTCTGGGAGTCTGGCAATGCTGAGTTGGGAGACAGGCCTCTTTCTTGGTTCATCTTCCCTCAACCCTAGGGCCTGCTGAGTCATCTCTGGTAGGGGTGGCCTCCTTCCATGCTGTCTTTGCACCCATCTCCAGCCCTGTCACCCCCACCCAGGGAAGCTCCCTGCTTAGTAGAGGGGGCTCAGAGCCTCAGCAACTGGACCGCCTTCCCCTCTGCAGGGCTGGGCATGCTCGAGGGTGGGCTGCAGGCCTGCTGGGGGGAGGTGACATGGGAGGGACCTGGGTGCCCCCCAAGACCCCAAGACCCCATGGGCCCTGCCCACCCTGCACCTTTGCCCCCACACCGGCCTCCCGGCTCTCTGTAGTGGGCTGCTGTGTCTTTGCATTCTTCGTGGGGCTGTTGTTCGTCCAGCGCTCCGGGAACTACTTTGTCACCATGTTTGATGACTACTCGGCCACCCTGCCACTCACGGTCATCGTCATCTTAGAGAACATCGCTGTGGCCTGGATCTATGGAACCAAGAAGTAAGGGGGTGAGGGGCATGGGTGGGGACGGGGGGAAGCATTTGTCCTGTCATCCCTCCCTGGAAAGTCCTGTGTTCCCAGAGCCGCCTGTGAGTGGGGAGGAGCTCAACATGGTCAGAAAGTCAGAGCTAAAATTGCCCTTGCAGATCAGTGGGGAAACTGAGCCTCAGAGAGAGAGGACATGACTCCCCAAGGCTGGCTGGCTGGTGAGAGGCAGGCTGTGGCGGCATCTCCTGGGTGTAGGTTCTGACATCATTCATAACTGTGGCAAATGACCCCAGCACCTCGGTGCTTCTTCGGTTCAGCTTGTTAAACAGTTGATGGGCCCACAGAAGCCCCTGCCCTTAGGAGCGCCTCGCCTTCAGTAGCCCAAGTCACGGCGTGGAGGCAGTCTGCACAGGGACGTGAGGGGAAGCATGGCTTCGGCCCCAAGTTTGGAGCTGAGTTGGGGGAGGGAATTCAGCTACTAGAAAAGATTGTGTGCTCTGGCCTGACCTGGGACCAGTGCTCTCACTGTCAGCCCCCGATCTCCTTCTGCATTAGGAACACATCTGTCCCAGGAAGCCCCAGGACTCTGTCCCTCCACTCGCTCAGCAAGGTCCTTCCCTGATGCCTGAACTTGGTCTTACACTCAGGCTCTCTCACAGGGCCTGCTGTAGCACCTGCTTCCAGGAGAGGTTAGGAGGGGTCGGACGACTAGCCAGGCTTGGAAGAGGCACTAGATGGGGCTCTGACCTTCTCCCACCTGGTGAAGCCCCTGTACCCCATGTTAGAATACTATTTTTAAATGTATAAGGAAAAACAGAGGATTACATAGGAAACTATGTTGAAAAATAGCAAAACAGTGTTTTAAACCAACTCTAGCTGTGTATTGCACTTTCTTTTAATTACATTAAGTTACATGATGTAGCTGTGGGTCTCATGACAGTGGTGATTTGGAAGTAGTGATGATCATAAGTGATGTTTGTAGGTTTCACATTGCAACAAATGTAATGTGGTAAGAAGTGATCTGTGATTTAATGAATTGGAGGCAGATTTACTGCTACTGTATTTGCTTGAATTTATAATGAAAGAAATAGAAAATTTCAGCTATGTGTGATCGAGGTAAAGATGATTTTTTTAATGCTATTCATGTGCCCAGCCTACTGGCCTCCCTGAATTCCACCCAGGCAGGGCCACCTTCTGGTTAGAGACCCAGGCAGGGCCACCTTCTGCCTCTGGATACTAGAGGTGTGCATTTCGACCTTTCTTCCGGCAGGGGAAGTCGAGAGCCAGGCCCATTGTGTGGGGCTGTGCCAGGGAGAAGAGGGAAGCAGGCCAGTGCGGGTGGGCCTGCCGGGGTGTGTTACCTGGGATGTGTCATATCCCTGGGTGGGGAGTCAGGAGGTAGGCCTTCCTAGGGACCGACTGGGCACCGAATAATATAACGAGCGCCTTGAATATGAAGAACAGAAGAGCCTAGGAGGGAGGGACTGGGGCAGTGAAGGCTTCCTGGAGGTGGTGGCTATGGGGGAGGGGGCCGGTACTGTGAGGGTGCCAACCGCTGGACCACTGCTGTCACTGACAGGTTCATGCAGGAGCTGACGGACATGCTGGGCTTCCGGCCCTACCGCTTCTATTTCTACATGTGGAAGTTCGTGTCTCCACTGTGCATGGCTGTACTCACCACGGCCAGCATTATCCAGCTGGGGGTCACGCCCCCAGGCTATAGCGCTTGGATCAAGGAGGAGGTGAGGGGTGGGGGCCCCCAAGCCCAGGGACATTGGCATCTTTCCTTTAATGCAACAGGCGAAAGAAATAGACCCTTACAGGACAACTATGAGGTGCCAAGGCCCAGCCAAGGGGTTCATACCTGACCTGTAACATCTAGAGCAACCCAATGAGAGAGGTGGCATCATCCCTCCAGCACAAATGGGGAAACTAAGGGTCTGGAAATTTAGCATGTTTGTCCAGGCTTTCTAACCCCTACTTTCCCTCCATGTCGACTGGAATCACCCATCCATCTTACAGGCATAGAAGCAGGCTCAGGCCCTTAACCAAGGTGACCCTAAGTCAAGTAGCATCTCCCGACGACCCCCATCTCTGCTGGGGTTTGGCCAGGATGGTGGGTGGGGCTGGGGAGAGGGCAGGAAGAGGGTCCCGAGTTCCTGGGTCGCAGCCCTCACCCCTGTTCCCGCCCTAGGCTGCTGAGCGCTACCTGTATTTTCCTAACTGGGCCATGGCGCTCCTTATCACCCTCATCGTCGTGGCCACCCTGCCCATCCCCGTGGTGTTCGTCCTGCGGCACTTCCACCTGCTCTCTGACGGCTCCAACACCCTCTCCGTGTCCTACAAGAAGGGCCGCATGATGAAGGACATCTCCAACCTGGAGGAGAACGACGAGACCCGCTTCATCCTCAGCAAGGTGCCCAGCGAGGCGCCCTCCCCCATGCCCACCCACCGCTCCTACCTGGGGCCGGGCAGCACGTCGCCCCTGGAGAACAGCACCAACCCCAATGGACGCTATGGGAGTGGCTACCTCCTGGCCAGCACCCCTGAATCAGAGCTGTGACCATCACCCCCACCCTGCCGGTCTCTCTCCCCCCACACCCAGACAGCCCACTTCCAGGCCCGCTGCCCAAGGAGACAGGGTCTGCCCTGCCTCAGCCTCCACCCCCGTCCCAGTAGCTTCTACTCCCCAGACCCTCATGGGGCCGGGAGCAACTCTGTCCACCAATCCAGTCCCAGCCCCAGTCCAGTCGAACCCTCTGAGATCTTCTCATCAAATTGCAGCCGAATGACTGGAATAATCCAGAAGTCCTGGCCTCCCAGTGCAGGGGAGACTCCAAGTGGCCACATAGGAGTCCCTCCTCCCTCTCTTCCTCCCTGGAACCCGCCTGCTGTTCTGAGGTCTCAGATTCCCCATGTGCTGCCGGGTGAGAGACACCTGGATGGGGTGGGGCGGGGAGTCCCAGAGGTTCCTGACTTATGGCCAGGGGCGGGACACAGGTGTCAGGGCTCAGAATTGGGGTGGCTTCTGCTTTGTGAGGCAGATGGTGCCCTCTAAGGGGCTCCCCTGCGGCCTCTAAGTGGAGTACCCCATGTCCGTGCCCGGGGAGGGGGTGGATGTGCCCCTGACTCTGCTTGGGAGGGCGATGACTGGGCCTGAACCCATCCCCGTCTCCATTAGGGCTTAGCCGTGCCCCCGTCTGCCCCTCCCATCCTGGAGCCAGCCTGGTGGCTTCCAGCTGGTTCCCTGCGCGGAGGGACAGTGTGTGCAGAGGCTTCCAGAGCACACTCGACTGTTCACAGCACAATCGGATGGTTTGGAGCACAACAGTGAAGCACACTCTCCCCACACCCGCGCCCAGGGCCCACTTTCTCACTCGCAGCAGCTTCTCCCTGGAAATGGGGGTCGCTGGAGCTCAGGAGCTCACACCCAGAAGCCTTGCACCTGGGGAAAGGCAGATGCGTCCCTGGCAGATGGGCCACCTCTCGCTCTCCTTGTGCAAGCACAGCCACCTCACGCGCGTGTCCTGTGTGGACACCTCTGACCCCTGTCCCGAGCTGCCTGGCCCTGGGCAGCGCCATGGGAACCGGAAGCTGCTGAGTGGAAGGGCCAAGCCTCTGGCCTGGGGCCCAGCCTCTGCAGTATCCCCACCCACCCCTACCTTGGGTCTCCCCTGAAAAGGGGCTGCCCTTGGAGTACAGACTGGGGGGGGTGGTTAGAACCTGACTGGAGAACAAATGTCTACAGAGAGATGGCTGGATGGATGGGAGGCTGGGTGGACCAGTGGAGGGATGCATGGGCTCATGAGGATGGATGGACCAGCGGAGGGATGCATGGATGGATGGATGGATGGATGGACGAATGGGAGGACCCATGAGGGAGGGATGGACTGATGGGAGGCAGGAAGGCGGGGAGGGAGGGAGGCTGGCTGGACTGCAATCCTCCATCTTTGAGAGCCCTGGTGAGTGAGGCAGGAACAGGCCGCTGCCCTAGGTCCAGGCCTCTTCATGGAGTGTCCCGAGTCATCCTGGTCCTTGACTTCCCAGCTCCAGGAGGAACAGACTAGGCCCAGGGTTCCCTTCTCCACCCCTTAGTCACTAGGTCTCCCCCTGGGTGGGCTTCCAGCCTCTACCCTGCTTTCTCCCTTACTCATCGCTCCCTCACACCTCCCTTTCCAGTGCTCTCAGCCCCATCTGTCCTTCTGAGTACGTGAGGGGAGCAGGAGACCCACCTCTCCCCAAAGACTTGAGCTTTTGGGCACAACATCCGCCTTAGCCCTCTCACCTGACGACACCCCTTACCTGGCCTCGTGCCTGATCCCAAGCAGAATTAGCAACAGGAAGAGCCAGGCCCGGGAGAGACAGCCTACTATATATACTCTTCTACATATTCTATTTCTATTGTATATTCAATCTGTACATGTGGGTGTAAATGCTGTTAAATGACAAACCCAATATTACACCGTGGCTGGTGGACTATTTTCATTCTCAGTGCTGTACAGATCTATTTTCATTGTATATTTGATATATTTTTAATTTTGTAGCGTGTGGCTGGGCCAGGCCCCAGCCTCCAGCCTGGGACAGGGGGCTGAGCTGGGCTGTCTGCTTCGTCCTGTGGCTCAGCAGTGTTCTAGCCTCTGCCGGAGGCAGGCGCTGCCCTGGCTGTGTCTCTGCTGTTAGATGTAGGGCCCAGAGCTTGGTGAGTGAGTATGTGTGTGCGTGTGTGCGCGCGTGTGTACAAATGTGGGCGTGGGTGTGTGGGGGTGCTGATTTGTGATTCCCAGTGTTCACCCCATTCCTGAAGAACATGCTGCCCTCCCCCTCCTGCTCCCTCCCCTCAGCTCTGTCAGAGAGGCCTCAGGGCAGGGTCCCACGGGAAGCCCCCCCCCCCGTTACTGGGAAAGGACATATTCTGGGCTGGTGACTCATTGCCTTCACACCGCTGGACTTGCCAGAAACCAGGAAGAAGGGACCTTGGGGAAAAGCCCCCAGTTTATTTTCCAGCCAGCCTCTGACTGTTGCCATTGGAGTTTCAAGCTCTTCATCCGGAAGAAAATCTCAGTGTTGCCTCTGCCCTGCGTTTGTCCTTGAGATGGTCCCGACAGAGGAGGGGACAGCTGCCCCTCCCCAGTGCTCCGGACACACACACCTCTGCTCACTCTGCTGGGGAGCTGGAGATTGGGGTGAGGCCAGCAGGCCCAGGTAAGCTCCAGCCTCAGGTTCCCTGGAGGAGCAGGAAGTGGCCGAGGAGGGGCAAGCCCCCATGTTCCCACACAACGTCTCCCCCCACCCCAGGCTTTGGTGCTGTCCTTCCAGTGCCCACAGGAGACAGAGTGGACTCCAGGGCCAGGCTGGGGCATGCCTAGAAGAGCCAGCCCCTGGTCCCTGCCCCTGCCAGCCCACCAGCCTCAGTCACCAGCTTCTTGCTCAGGGAGCCTTCTGCCCTCTCCACTGAGGCAACATGAAGCTCGAGGCCCAGATGGGGATGAACAGGTGGGGCACCCAAGTAATGCCAGCAAGGTTGGCTCTTCCCTCCAGCAATAAATCTGTAGGGACTGCTGCTTTCCTAGTGCCAGGAGAAGCCCTCCCAAGTCAACCTGCCAAACCGCGAGGCTGGGGCTGGAAGCTGCGGAGTCCCAGGCCATGAATAAGCTTGCAGTATTACAGGCAGGGGCTGCCCTTCTGCCCCCTCAGAGCCACCCCCAGGCCATTCCCCACTGTGGAGAAGAGAGCGACTGAACAGGTTGGAATGCATGTGATCCCTGAGCATCCGCTAGGCCCTGGAACTTGGGGCCTGCTGCCTCTTCACTGGGGCCTGGTGACAGGTGGGGGAGGAGGGCCCAGGGCCCCTTCTCATGCCAAGCACTGCTTTGTACAGTCCCAAGCACACCTGGCAGGCAGCACTTTAGGTTCTGGCACGAATTCAGAACAATTCAAGTCCATGTGCCCCACGGCTGGTCAGAGGCCTGGTCAAGACCACTCAGCCCAGGGGAGGGGGCAAAGCATCATCACCCCGGAGCCCCTCTTTCCTCTCTATACCTCCCTCCCCACGGTGTACAATAAAGTGTCTGTTCTTACCAAAGACCTCTTGCCTTTCTGACCTGCCTTGGGATCAGGGAGAGGTTTCGAGTAGGCCTAGGGTCTTGAGGGCAGTTTAGGGGTAGCCTTGTGGATGGGCTGGGTCGTAGAGAACTGCTGTGGGAATTGTGGGCGCTGAATGGCTGAGGGGTGTGGGAAGAGGAGAAGGGAAGGGGGTTTATTTCTCTAGGTCTCTCCCTAGGACTTGAACAATTCACAGGCTTGTCATGGGCCTTGCTGAGTGCCAAGTGTAGTAAGTCCTCACCTAATATTGTCAATAGGTTCTTGGAAACTGGCATAAAGCAAAATGACAAGTAACAAAATCAGGTCTTCAAATGACTTCCTTCCTCAACATCGTAAGGAAAGAAGTTCCTCGAGGACCTGCTATTCCTCGAGGACCATCTAACCTTGTGTGAGCTAAAGAAGTTCCTCGAGGACCATCTAACCTTGTGTGAGCTCTTCAACAGCTCTCGGAGGAAGATAGCTTGTTTCCAGGCTTTTCCAGGTGAGGAAAAGGAAGTCTGTCTTGGTGTCCACTTATAGGGCCTTGTGGGGAAATTCTTGCTTGGCCTCACTGCCTGGAAGAGCCATCCCTCTCAGCTCTGTGAGGGCAGGTGAGTAGAGGCTGGGAGAGTAAGAAGCCATATTCTAAGTTTTGAGGGAGTGGCCCCTCTCTTCAAGGTGGCTGTCTCTTTTGCAAGCTTCAGTGGAAGGTAAAGATGAAATAAGGGTTTCGACGTTATCTATTCTTCTCAAATTTCATCCCCAAGTATTTAACACCCACGGAAGGCTCGGCTGTGTGAGGAGTAAGCTGGTGGTCGGGGAAGCACTTCTTGCTTCAGCCTCCAGGAGCACAGACATTGGAAGAAGCAAGAAGTCTGGCTTCTGGGGGAGGATGCACCCCCACCCCCACCGCCAGGGTACTCCGCCCCAGCCTGGACTGAAGCTGCCTGACCTTAGGCACATAGAACCAGGTCCCCAAAGAAAGCTTCCATTTTCTTGGGTCATAGAAAAGTGTTGTTCCAGGAATAGCCACTAGGTGGCAGGGGAACCTTTCTCTCCAGCTCTTCGTCCACTTAACTCCTCTGCAACTCCATCACTTTTTTCCTTTGAGGATGAGTTTATCCCTTGAGCAAATATTAAGCATCCATCACGAACCGGTTCTATGCTGGTTATCTTTGTGGGCCCACAAAGATAAGAAAATCAGCTCCCTCGCTCTGGTCCCTCTTCTCCCACCCTCCAGAGTCCAAATCTCCCCCTTTAAAGAGAGGAGTAGACTCGTGCTGGGCATGTCACTTCTTATAAACTCATTCAATTGTTTAGTTGAAGGTAATGTTGGTTGAAATATCAGCCCTCCTGCAGGAGGGAGACTCACTAAGCAGCAACCTAACCAGGGTCTGGGAGCTAGGGAGTCAGATTTCCTAAGTTCAAATGCCAGTTAGGTCTCCAGCTTCCTGGGAGATCTGGTGCAAATATTTTAATCCCTCTGAGCTTCAATTTCCTTGTCTGTAAAATAGCTAGAATGGAATGGCTGGATTGCATGAGATGATGCACGTTGCTGTGTGTCGTGTACCCCATCTTGGTTGCTGAAAACCAGCATTTTATTATGTCTCATGGTTTTGTAGGTGAAGAATTAATTCAGTCAGGAATGGACTGGGCAACTAATCTGGTGGCAACTGAGGCCACTCAGTGGTATTCAGCTGGCAGAGAGACTAGTCTGGAGGGTCTAAGGCAGCCTGACTCGGTCATTAAAATAGCTGACCTCAGTGTGAAGGGCTGGAGGCTGGGTTCAGCAGGGGCTGCGGCCAGAACACACCTATAGCTGTCTCCCACAGAGCTCCTCTCCGACGCCAGACCTCTTACCTCATAGCTAAGGTAGGAGCCAGGCCCAGAGAGACCATTTCAAGAGACAGAGTGGAAGCTGCCGGTTTCCAGTGCCGCTGCTGCCGTATTCTCTGGGTCACAGCAGGTAATTTAAGAGGAGGGCACACAGATCTCATTTGCAAGGATCAGAGGGGCGAATCACCTTGTGGCTGCCCACATAAGGTGTCAATTCCAGGGTGGTAGGGATCTGCAGTCACTGGCACCCGGAGCTGACTCCTAGGGGCTATCAGCTGAGACTGGGGCCCAGGACAGGAAGTTCTGACGAGGAGGTAAGCTGACTCTTGTTGCATGAGGGACCCGAGGCAAGAACTGTCCTGCTGAGTCTCACCTAATTCCTGACCACAAAATCATGAGCAAACTACAGTGACTATTGGATATATGCCACTAAATCTGAGGGGCTACTGGGCCCCCAATTCAGAGTGATGGTAACCAGAACATGAACCTTAGTGATTATCTAAGGTTCTCTCCAGATACCTCCTAGGAGGGCTCTCAGCATTAAGATTTGGAACATGCAAATAGAACAGTTGGGGAAACTGAGGCCCCGAGCAGGGAAACAATTTAGCCAGAATGCCCACAATCAGGTAGGGGGGGGGTAACTGAAGCCAGCACTTGGGTTTCTGGCCTTCCAGTCCAGGGTGCCCTCCAGCATAGCAAGGTACTGACGGGGAGGCTCCCTGTCCCACCTCCAAGCTGTCACCTCATTAGTTCCACGCATCAAGGTGGAATCGAGTGTTGAGGGTACAGGTTTGGCTCAGCGCTGGGACATGCACAGAAGCAGCGGGCAGGGCTTCCTGCCTTATGGGGATGGTTACATCTAACTTGGCACGTCCTGCCCACCGCATACCCAGCAGAGCTGAGCACACTGCTCACATCTTCTCAGGGGGAAAGAACCCAAGAAATGAGGCAAAGACTATGTCTGTCACTCGACAACAAAATATTAAATTACTTCGTGCCAGCCACAGTGCCAGCTGTGGGGCAGAGAGACTCCGTGGAGATCCACCCTGTGGCTCCTGGGTCAGGGCGGGCCAGTGCCCGCACTCTCCACTTCTCCTGGGCTGGCCCATGCAAACAAGTCTCTGTGGGCTTGAGGAAGAGCAGAGGAGCCAGAGTTTGGTCTGCCTCTGCTGACAACTGTTTCCCCTTTCCCCAGGACACTGCCGGAGGGCACCGGCCCCAGCAGGACTAATTAACTACTCTAATGGAATGAACCAGTTTTGCTGGAATTAAGCCCAGGTGGGAGGAATTTGTACTTTTCTAGATGGAGAAATGCTGAGTGCCAAGGAGTCTTGCCAGCTGAGTCCTGAGCTAACGTGAGTGAGCACACGCATGTCTCTGGCCCCAGGCTAGGGTCACTAGCCCAGAGGCCCTGAGCAAGGAGGGCTATGGGGGTCCTCTTAGCCGGCCCCAGGCCTCTGCTTCCTATGGTCACTGCTCAACATGCAGACACCACACGGGCCCTGCTATCATTCTCTGTCCCTGACCATACCCCAGTCCTTGCTCAGTCTCCCAACGCTCACTGCTGCTCCTTATCCCTGAAATCTCCCCAGGAGAATTATACCTGTGATCTGGCTCCCAGGCCCCTCCCAGGCTGTTGATTTCAACTTCATGGTTTGTGAGGGTCTGGTCCTAGCCAGGCTTGCACCTTTCTGGTTCTTTCCCTCTTTGAATGGGCCATTAAAGACCATCTTTGGGGGTTCCCCAGAATCCCAAATACACATTTACTAGGATTTTCAAAGCCATTCAGCCCTGCCTCAGCTAGTGCAGAGCCATCTAGCTCACATCCAAAGGCCCGGAGGACTGGGTTCTCTCCAGATACCTTCTGGGAAGGCTCTCAGCATTAAGATTTGGAACCTGCAAGCTTCTTCGGGCTGCTGCAGGTGGGGGACAGGAGAAAATGAGTGGGTAGGGAATAGGAGGCTTCCAGCTTCCCCTCCAGGAGGGGCAATGTCCTATTACTCTGTCTTATTACTCTCACAATTCAATGGGTTTGGGGAGCAGCGCAGGCTAGAAAGGGATGCTGGTTCCTCCTTTCTGGACCTGAAAGGGAAGGGTTGGTGCCTGGTGGGAGCTGGAAAGCCAAAAGGGGGGCAGGTAAGTATGAGGATCCATGGGGCATCTCCTATGCCTGGTGCCCCTCAAAACAAGCAGAGTGCAAGAAAGATAGAAAGAAGTGCAAGGAGAGGAGATTGAATGGCTCCTGTCACGCCAAAGTGGCTGAGCTCCACACAAAGCCCCCAGCGGGGAAAGGTCTATCTATGGCTTTGATGTCAGATTCTCAAGCTTCCCATGGGGGAGAGGGGGATCAGCCTCAGCGCTCAGGTAGCAAGGGCCTATTTGAGGGTTCAGGAAAGGTTACAGGTGCTTGGCACTCCCCTCCCCATCAGTGTCACTCTGGAATCAAACATTACCCTATTTTCCTATTCTTTTGCCATGCTTTTATTCTGGGAAACCCACCATGGCCAGTGCTTCGGTGTGAACTGGCCCCCAAACAGATGTTTTTTTTTTTTTCCTGAAGAAATCAACACTCTCAGGAAAGGAAGGGAGAGAAAAGGTGATCTTGGAGGGAAAAGCTTGCAAAATTAGAAATTTCCAACTATGACCTTTTTATGTTCTTGCTTAAGCCTGTCAGTTATCAAGGTCTTCATGGAATGGAAAATGCAGAGAGGGCACAGAGTCCTGGATGCGAGAGTTAGGCTGAGAGAGACACGCGTGGTCCTGGAATTGAAAAGAAACCCCAAATCAGCTCTTCATTCTCTTGACAACCACTACGCAGAGCTGAGGGGGCGATCTGGCGCAATGTCTCATACAAACACCAGGGGGCAGCACCCACCCATCCACTTGGGGCTGTCACACTGCGGGCCGCGCAGGGGGGGCTCTCTCCGTCCAGGGGTTCTGGGTTCCCGGGAAATAGCATGACCTCATATACACAGAACCGACAGGGACAAGCTCTGTGATGTCAACTGCAGCCCACGGACACCCCCCGGAAAAGTCCAGAAAGGACCAGGTAACATGAGTTCTAGGCTAGACCCTTCAAGTGGGTTCCCCTACCCCACCCCAGCTTTCTGACTCCCCCCACCCCAGGCTTCCTCTTTTTCCTGGAAGCTTTCTCCTTTCCTCTCTCCCACGCGTTCATCACCATCCACAAACAATGCAGAACAGAAACACCCTCTCCGTGACACCACAGAGATTTATTGGGGTAAGGGGAGACTTCTGTTCCCTGACTGTACACCTGGAACAGCTCCTGGCACAAAGTAGTCACTCAAGAAATATTTATTAAATGAATAAATGACTCAGGCATGGGGTGCTGGATGTTTTAACCCCCTTTTCACCCTACCCCCATCAAGTTCTCCCTTGAAGAATGGAAAGTGGGGCAGAGAACCCAGGGGAGTTTGCCAGGACCCTACCTGGATGGGAATGGACATCAGTCAATTCCTTCCTTAACCGGTTTCTGGCCAGACCTGGCTCTTCTCTTCCCCATGACATTTGGGACATTTCTTTTGTGCTGCAGCAAACTCAAAGCCAGCTCAAGTCTTAAATGCAGACATCAGGTTGGAGGGCTGGGGTGCCTGGACAGAAGAGATGCATGTTACCACAGATCGGCAAGGGTCTGACCTCTTTGCTTCTAAGCACCCTGTGCATTTGTTCTGCATTTTAACCCTTCCTTGGAGAGCACCCAGGCGCCTCTTGTTTTTCCTGGGATGGCCAGATGCTGCCTGATCTGGAAACCGGGAAGTGCACAGGTGTCCAGGGCAGGTGTGTCCATTACTTTGCATATCTGCCTTAAAATCCTCCTTACCTCATCCAGATGGACACGGGGGCTGCCTGAAGTTGTTTTTGTTTTTTTAAAAAAAGACCAATTGAAAGATGTAGGAGAAGTTTTGGACTTAAAAATAAATAAAAACAAATTAATCTGAACATTGTTCTTGGGATGGGGCCAGTGAAGTCCGGCTGGTGACTAATGTCTTGGGGATGGCAGCTTTTCAATCACTTAGCAAACAGGTTCTGACAGGCAGGCACTGTGGGCGCCATCGAGATGAAAAAGCAGTGCAGGTCTGGAAGAGTTCAGGGTTCCATATGGGAGGTGAGATTAAAAAATGCGACGTCAAATTGCAATGAATCAAACAATAGAACCAGCAGTGGGGCAAGACTTGGGCCCTTCCCATGGACCCCCAGACAAGGATGAGCCGAGGCTTTAACCTGATGATCTCCCAGGGCACCCACCCCACACTCATAACAGCGCCAGGGTTACGTTTTCCTTCCACCCAGACCAGGAGGCGCTTCTCTGCCCAGGGCCCCAGGGTACCCCCATTCCACCGTGGGGGATTTGGTGACTGGCACAGGGGCGCCTGGGCATCCAGACGCCGGCATCTCACGCCTAGTTGGGGCTCAACAGCTAGGATGGGGGCGGGGTGGTCAGGAGGCCCCAAGACGGAGTCTGGGGCAGGAGGGGGCAGCCTCCTCCTGGTGACACGGTCGCTCCACTCTCTTCCCTGGCCTCCAGCCCGCCGCAATGGAACCGCATCAATGCGCCCAGCCTGGCGGGGAGGGGGCGACGGGGCCACCAGAAGGGGCGAGTGGAGGTTCGAGGTCAGGGGTCCAGAGCGCTTCGGAGCCCACTCCCCCCCCCCCCCCGCCCCCCGAACGGCTGCAGTGGGAGGAGCTGCCGCTGGAGCCAGGCGGGGAGCAGAGCCGAGGGGGGCGGGGGGGGGGTGGCGGCGGTGGCGCGCAGGGGCGGCGCGCGGGGCCGGGCGCTGGCGGCGAGCGCTTACGCGCCCGGGTCTGGCTCGGCTCCGCGGACCCGGGCTGAGCTCCGCCGCCGCGGCCCTGCAGCAAGCGGGGTCCGACCCGACCCGCGCCGCGCCCCGCCCACCCCGCCCCGCGGAGGGCGCGCCCGGGCGAGGCGGGGCCGAGAGGAAAAGGCGCCACGGCAGAGTGGCGTGCGCAGCCATCGCCGGCGGGAGACCCGGCGCCCCCCGCGCCCCCAGCGCCCCAGCCCACCGGCGCCGAGGCGCCCCCTCCGTTAGGCTCCCTCTCCCGCGCCCCCCGCCGCGCGCCCAGGCCGGCGCCCCGCCCGGAGATGGGCAGCCGCGCGGATGGCGCGGCTCTCCGCGCGGCCGGACCGCAGGAGCCCGGCGCCGGGGCGCTGCGCTGAGGCTCCCTCCCGGCGCGGCCCGGGAAGCCCGCAGGTGTCCTCGGCCGCCCGGCGGGCGCCTTCGCGGGGGCCCCGCGCCCGGCTCCCCGGAGCGGCCCCGCCCCCCGGCTCGGCGCCGCGCAGGACGCCCCGTCTGAGGCCCCCGCCCCGCCCCGGCGCGGCCCCCGCGGCGCCGCGCCCGGCCCAGCCCCGCCGAGCGGCGGACGCAGGACCCGAGGCTCGCGGCGGCGGGCGCGCTTGTTTTCCTGCCGCCGCCTCGCCCTGCGCAGCCCCCGCCCGCCCGGACGCCGCGCTCCGCGCAGCCCCGCCCGCCCGCCCGCCCGCCCGCCGGGTCCTGCGCCGGATTTATGAATGGGGCGAAGAGGCCACATGCCGCCGCCGCCGCGTGGTGACCGCACGCAGCCCGGGCCCGCGGAGCTGCCGCTGCGGTGAGAGCGCCGGCCCGGCCCGGAGCCGCTCCGAGGACTTGTTGCTGCCGCGGGGGCGCGGGGGGCGCGGGCCGGGGCCGAGGGCGGCCCGTGCGCGGAGAGCGCGCGCGCGTCCCGATCCCGCCGCGCGCCGGGCCGTGCGCCCCTCGCCTCGGGTGGGTGAAGCGGGGGCGTGGCCCGGGCCGGGGCGTCCGAGGGGCCAGTGCGCGCGCCCTGCCTCCTCGGCGCCCGCGCCGGAGCCGCCTCTCGCCCCCCTCCGCCTCCCTCCCGGGCGCTGCCGGCCCGAACCCCAACCACCTGTGCACCCGAGACACCCAACTCCGCCCGCCCGCGCCCCGGGGGGAGGCAGGGGCAGGGCCACGCCGCAGAGGGGGCCGCCGCGCGCCGCCTGCCGCCTCCCGCGCGCTCCCCTCCCCCGCTGACGCCGCCTGCTCGGGAAGGGTGTTTGGAGGGCAGCGGCCGCCCCAAGCCGAAGCCCCGCAGCGCTGCTTATGATCAGCTCGGTGTGTGTCTCCTCCTACCGCGGGCGCAAGTCGGGGAACAAGCCTCCGTCCAAAACATGTCTGAAGGAAGAGATGGCCAAGGGCGAGGCGTCGGAGAAGATCATCCTCAACGTGGGCGGCACGCGACATGAGACCTACCGCAGCACCCTGCGCACCCTGCCCGGCACCCGCCTCGCCTGGCTGGCCGACCCCGACGGCGGGGGCCGGCCCGAGCGCGCGGGCGGCGGGGCGGGCGGCGGCGGGAGCTGCGAGTTCTTCTTCGACCGGCACCCGGGCGTCTTCTCCTACGTGCTCAACTACTACCGCACCGGCAAGCTGCACTGCCCCGCCGACGTGTGCGGGCCGCTCTTCGAGGAGGAGCTCACCTTCTGGGGCATCGACGAGACGGACGTGGAGCCGTGCTGCTGGATGACCTACCGGCAGCACCGCGACGCCGAGGAGGCGCTGGACATCTTCGAGAGCCCGGACGGCGGCGCGGGCGCGGGCCCCGGCCAGGAGGCCTGCGAGGACGAGCGGGAGCTGGCCCTGCAGCGCCTGGGCGCCCACGAGGGAGGCGCGGGCTCCGGCGCCGGGGCCGGGAGCTGCCGAGGCTGGCAGCCCCGCATGTGGGCGCTCTTCGAGGATCCCTACTCATCCCGGGCGGCCAGGGTGAGTGAGGGGTTCGAGCCTGCGTCGGGGCTCCGCGGGCGTGTGCCAGGGGGCACGTCGTGGCGGCGGTGGTGGGCAGGGGCCTGGAGGAGTCACCGCGGCCTCCTGCAGGTCCCCCTGTCGCCCGTGGGTGCTCAGGGCAAGCGCACACCCCCTCGCTCCCATGCTTTCTTCATCAGAAGATTGCACACACTTGACTTACTACTTGGACCCAATCCCAGATGCCTGCTTTGCCGCATCCCCTCTCAGCAAGTGGGGTGCCCTTAGCTGAGCTCTTTCACCCACCCCCCCTTTTTTTTTTTTTGGTCTGCACAGGCTGCTTGTCTCCATCAGCCCCCCACTTCGCCACAGGCCAGAGACCTGGAGAATTGGCATTCCAGCCTCCACTGGGGTCATGCAGGGTTTAGGGGGAGAAAGATAGTGTGTTGGGTGCCTGCTGGGCGCCTGCTCGGGCAGGCCGTTGCCTGAGCGTCCTCGCCCGCCACCTCCTTTAAAGCTTCCCAGCAGCTCAGTGTACTCAGAACTGCAAGTTTCAGAGAGGGGGACACGGGCTTCTGCCTCTTCAACTCATTACGGGCAGCGCCAGGACAGAGCCCACCCCTTTCCTCCAGGTTTGGGAGAGGCCTCCTTCTTTTTCTCCAAGCAGGTAGGTCCCGGCGCCTGTCTGTGTGTGCCCCTGAGGCGTCCGGACCAGGATGAGGGCAGAGCGAGACACGGCCCGTGTTTGGGCTGCAGAGCTGCCTGGGGACAACCCTGGATCTGTTGTTGCTGCTTTTTTTCCTCGCTGCAGCACAAATTGGCTTCCCAGGAAGCCCTGGTTTAGGTTACTGCTTGAAATGGATGAGGGGAAGGGGGAGGGGGACGAGCATCATTAACTCAGGCAAGAACTGGTCCTTTTCTACCCCATCCCAGGCCAACCTAGTCTCCACAACTCCCTTAGGTGGAAGGGGGTGAGGGGGGCATGTGCTTGGGCAACTGAAAAAGCCCAGAAGGATGGTGGCTTTAGATTCCTTAGAAAAGAGCACCCTGGGGCTGTTGTCGGATCTGACCTGCCTGACTGGGGCCTACTTGGGAGACAGGAAAGAGCAAGCGAAGTGTTGTGTCTGGGGACTGCCCTCTGCTGTGGAACTGGTTGTCACCTCTGGCATCCCCAGTCGTCATGCTAATGAGTCTCAGAGCCCGCCACCTCCCGGGCCTCGCCACAGCCCTATGGCAGAAGGGAAAGTTCCACCCAGGGGAGGCCAAGACATGGGCAAATGGGGCTGCTGGGAGGGGCCAGAGGGCCATAAATGCTCGACCAGGGCAGGTACCTCACCTGCCTGGAAGAGCGGGGAGGAAGTAGGGGTCTCAATGGCCAGGCTGGGGCGTAGGAGTCCCAGGGCAGCCCCTGGAAGGCAAGGACCTTTTTCAGACCTGAGAGCAGGGCTAGGGGTCAGCTGCCCTTATTTCTCTGCAGTCCCGCCACCACCCCAGGCCAGGACTTCTCACACCTTCCCAGCCCTGTCAGTGTCCGCTCTTGGCTGCGTGCATGAGGGGACAGACATGTCCGGAGAACTCAGGCAGATTTGGCTTAATAGAGGCTGGGAAGGACGGCCAGCGGGCGTGAGTGAGATGCAATGATTAGGGAGCTGGGCCTATTTCTGAGCTTCCGGAGGTCCCTGGGGACTTTCCACCTGTTCAGGGTCTTCTCTCTTGAATTCAAGAGGCTGTGCCATCACTGAGTTCATTTTCTCCTTGGCTTACTGCAGTGGCCCGGCCAGGGGCTCTTCGAGCGAGTGCAGGGCTGGCTGACCCCTTGAAGTCCTCTGGGAGCACGGGGTGCTTTGCTCCCAGGTGGAAGGGAGTCATGCCAATTGCGGTGGAAAGCTTGGACAGGGTTCATTCTTTCCACTGAAGCAGCAAAGAAATGGGGATTCAGAAGAGTAAAGTGTCCTGTAAAAGATACTTAACTAATAGCAGAGCCAACCAGTCACCCCTCGTTTCCAGCCCCCTTCTGTTCATGCTGATGTGAACAGCTCTTGCCAAAAGAGGACTCACCTGCGAAGGAGCACGGACAAGGCAGGCCTCCAGCTGTTCCTGGGGCACAGTGAGAAAACATCAGCTTGAAAATCAATAACCACTCCTTGCAGGGTCTTTGCTGTGTGATCTCTAATCCTCCCGATAAACCTATAAGGGAAGGGTCATCCCCATTTTCAGACAGGCTGTGGGAGGGTCAACCACTTTTCTGAGCTCGCACAGCTAGGTAGAGGCGGGCTGTGACTCAGGGCCAGGGCTCTTACCTCCCAGGCCCTCGCTCTTCGATTGCAACCTGTTCTTACCCCTGAACAAGGCTGATTTCCAGGCGGCACTGGGTTCTTACTCTGGCCTGGGAGGTGTCTGAGTTCTGCACCTCCCATGGATGACCTCAGGAAACCCAAGAGCCGACAGGGGCCTCAGAAGGGACACTTACGCTGTTATCCCTCCAGGCCTGTGGTTGTGGGGTTCTGGGGTGCCCTCTCTGTTCAACCCTGGCCAATATTGCGCCTTCCCCACCTCCACACTGTCCTCTGGGTTTATGCAGAGTGTTCTCACTCTGGGGAGGCTGGCTCCCTGGAAGGGGCCCTGGGTGGGCCTGGGCTCTGACTGAGGTTGTGTAAGGGAGCCCCAGGTGCCTCTTCTCACTCAGCAGCCTGGTCATTTGAGGGGTGCACCATGACGGGAGGAAGAGAGACACAGGGGAAAGTGAACAGAGCTGATTATGGGAGCCTGTTGCTTCGCTACCCATCAGGGGGTGTGGTGCTCACCCCATTCCCTTCTCTGTGGCTGGGCCCATGCCAGGTTTCTGCAGCCTGACCTGGGAACAGGCACCAAGGGCAGGCCCGTCCTGCCCCCACCTCCCCACAGTCCCAGGCTGTGAGGGCTCACCACCAGCAGAGCTGCCTTCTGGGAAGCTGGGGAGATTGGGGGGCACAGGATCCAGAGCTATAGAATCAGGCTTTCTTCCTTTCCTGAGGGTAGACAGGAGGCTGCTGAATGGGAGCCCCCCTACCCTCCCTCACCCCCAGTGGCCACAGGTCCCAGTGGTGGGACTGGCTTGAGCTCAGTGAGCAGCCCTATTAAGGATGGCAGCTCTTCTTTGACAACATCACCGCCTAGACTGAGTTTTTCCCATGCTCTTTCCCTTCTGAATAGAGGAGGTGACCCACAGGGACCCCACTGGCCCGGGAAGGAGCTGGAGCTGGGGCTCGCGCCTCACCGCCATCCTGTGGGCTGCTGGCCCCCGGGCTTTCTCCAAATGTCTCTTCCGGCCCCTGCGAGGCAGGGATGACAAACCTCAGTTTCCAGAGAAGGAAACCGAGACTCCGAGGGGCTTTTCAAGGTCACACACCTGCTGGTAGAACGAGGGGTGTCTCGAGTCCAGGGGTGTGCAGTGTCACCGCCCGGCCCCTCCGGCGGCTCCTGCCTCTCCCCTCCGCTCTCCCTCCAGGAAGAAGCTCTGCAGAGCCGCTCTTGTCAGCGCTTGGTCAAGTGCTCTGTTCTCACTCCGGGGCTTTCCTTGGACAAGAAGAGAGGAGGTGTGGCTGGGAGAGGAGACGAGGTTTCCCTCCACAGGGAGAGGGTGGAACCAAGGCCTTCCAGGGTGGTAACCGGGGAGCCTTTCCTGCTCATTCCTTCTGGAGGCCCCGGCCACCTTGGCCTGGGCATCGCCCAGGCCGACGGGTGCGTGGGCATGATGAGCTTTGGCGTGAGCATGAGGACCAGGACTGACGGGCGGGCTCGGCAGGGACAGGACCCTGAGCCCAGGGGCTGGCGCCCTCGCCTCTCTGCTCCCCCTGCCCCAGCAGAGTAGCGCCAGGGCTCCAGCATGGAGGCGTGGAGGGGTTTCAGGCCAAGGGCCGCAGCCTCCCCACCCAGCCTGCCGGCAGCCTTCCAGCCTCCTCCTGGGTTTGTTGTGTTTTGTCCTGCGCAGACCAACATTCGCCTCTGAACATCTTGTCTCTGGATGATGAGGTGTTTCTGTTTGTCACCGTTTGGGGTGGGGTGTAAGGTGGGGGAAGGGGATGGAATAAACTTGGGCTATTTTGGAGAGGTAGAGGAAGAACAGAACAGAAGCAGGCGACCCGCCTTGGGAACAGGGAGCCCCTCCAGCCCCTCAGCTCTGCCCGGGGGCCAGGTCAGCCTGTGATGCTGGGGCAGGGGCATTTATGCCATCCTTGTTCCCAGCACAGCCGGTCTGCCGTGACCTGTGGCCCGGTCACCTGCTGGCATTTTTTTCAAGCAGAGTGATGGTCACCTGACTCCTGGCAGGGACCCCCCAGCAGTCAGCTTGACCCTCTGTCCCCTCTAGCCCACTGAGTGGGGCTGACCTTTCTTCCCGACAGCCTCCCCGGGAGCAGGCGGTCACCTTGGCTGCAGTGCAGTCATTCAGAAAACGTTTATTGAGCACTTACTACATCTCAGACACCGACCGGTCTCTATAAATATAAAGATGAGTCAGAGGTGGTCCCTGCATCCAAAGATGCCGGGTCAGATGCAGTAGGTGACAGTTGGGGGAAGTCAGGTGACAAGCCCCGGTGATGTGCATGATCACGAGAGGAGCCACAGCAGTCTTAAAAAAGTAAAGTTCAGTAGGAGGTGAGAGAAGGAAGGATTGAACCTCCCTCTGTGGTTGGGGTGTGGGGTACAGGGAAGCTTTAGGGGGAAATACTATTCAAGCTGGGTGGGCTCTGCTGGATAATGACTTAGCTTAAACAATTTTCAGAAGGAGGCAGGTTATAAATAATTATATAAATAAATTCTCCTTGTGGGTAGCGCCTAACCCGGCAGAGTTAGGGACGAGGGGAATTTCCTGGCCAGGGCAGAGATAGAATAGCTTGGGGCGCACATGGGCCGTGACCAAGAATTGCATTAGATTGGATAAGTCATGACCAGTGACCTGGGCTGCGCTGAATCCTTCTGGGGCTGGGACTTACTGGCTGGGACTTACTTCTGGACTTACTGGCTCTACAGCCTAGTATCCCCGAGAAGCTGCAAGTGCCGGCTTGGAACCAGGGGTTCCAGACTTGGTGGGGAGGGGCCAGGGCCAGGTCCTAGGGGAACCCCAAGAGGGGACTGGCCTTTACTGCGCAGGACCTCCCCCAGGAGCCCAGAGACAACTCAGCAACGCCTTGCCTGGCAGACTCCCTCTCCTTGCCTGCCTCTTAGCTCCCAGGACTGCCCACTCTTTCCAGCCCTGCACTGCTGGGCACTAGGCTCTCGCTTCCCCGGAAGGCTCAGCTCCTCATCCCATCCCCACAAATCTTCCTCTGCAAGTGTCTTTGGCTGTGTTCTCAAATTTCCCTTCTCCTACACTTCATCCTTAATATAGGTTTTTGGGCATGAGTGTTCTTATGTTTATCTGTCCATCTGTCTCCTTGGCCCTCCCTCCTTTGGCTCCCCTCCCCTGCCCCCGCTGATTGTATTTCATTTCCAATGACTGGTGTCTGTCACCTCTCCCCCCGACCCAGCCTGTGCCAGATTCCTGAGCCACGCTAGGCTCTGTGCTGAGTTTTACAAATACCATTTCTTTTACTCTTCACAACAGCTTCACGGGGTGGGAATTACTCTCATTCCCCTCGACCCACCAAACCTGCTGTGGCCTCAGGGCCTTTGCACTGTCTGTTCTCGCTGCCTCTCAAAATATGGATCTTCTTATGACTCCCTTCCTCACGCCTTCAGGCCTCTGAGGGCACCGAGGCCTTTCCCTGACCACCTTATTTGAAATTGCTCCCCCATCCTCATACTCTTTGCTCCCTTCTCTCATTTTTCTCCCTAACACACTATCTCCCTCCAGTAGGATGCAAGGTCTAAGGGGCAGGGGTGTCTGTTTTGTTTCCTGCTGTTACTCAGCACCCAGAATAGTGTCTGGCACATAGTAGATGCTCAGTTTTCCACAGGGCTGGCCACAGTTGAAATACCAGGGTCTCTGGGGATGGTGGGGCCACAGCAGGACATGGCCAGCCAAGGGGAGCAGAAAGCTGAAAGGGGCACAGAGGCCTCTCTGCCTCCTCCCAGCCAGCAGGAGAGGAGTCGCTGCAGGCAGGACCAGTTCACGAGCAATTTCCACTGGGGCATTTTCACTCCAGCAGAATCCGTGTGCTGTGTCCTCAGGCAGTGGAAAGAATTGACAGTTTCAGCCATGGGACCAGGGCAGTTCTCTTCTCCCAGGCCTCGTCTCTTCATCGACAGAACAGCAGAAAGGGTGTTGAACTGGATGACCTTCCAAGTCCCTTTCACTTCTGAAAAGTGCTATTTTTGACTCCACAGCCAACGTGCCTTCAGAAACTGCATGCAGGGATCGCCATCCATCTCCGCTGTCACCATGTACAGAGCACTTACTATGTATCAGGCATGTCTCATGTGGAGCATTTAACCCTAGCGTAACATTGTGGGGGGGATCGATGTAGGGAGGTAAGTGGGGAGAGGCCCCACTGTCCAGAGCCTATTGTCCTCATTGTATAACAAGGAAACTGGGAGCATTTACCTGGTCAGTGGCAGGCTGGGATGGGAACCCAGTCCGGGTGACCTCAGGGCTCCTTAGCTCTCCTTGGCCTCAGTCCCCCGAGGCCAGTGTTTGGCAGGGGCTGATGGGACGGAGGCTTAGCTAGTCACTGCTAACTCTGCCCAAGGTGCGCAGGCTTAGCTATTCACTACTATCTCTGCCCAAGGTGCGGTGGGGGCTGAACAGGAGACTGGAATGTGAGGCCTGCTGCTGCAACCCCACCACCCCCTCCTTGAGCCTTTTATGTCCCAACCAGCGTCCCTGCCCCTAGAAAGGAAGGCCTGGGGAAAAGCACCAGTGGCAGGCTGGGTCCCCACTTACAAAATTATTCAGTTTGGGGAATAATTTGGGCCTTGCATAGGAATGTTTAATTTCAGGACACATGTGGGGTCACCTCCCAGAGCCCAGGCCCCTGTGTCTCGGGCTGTGACTTCCTGGGGTCCCTGCCTGGTGCCTGCTGCCAGGCCTGGAGCGGCCTCAGGGGAGACTGAGGCCCTTCAGGGCTTCACGGGGAGCTGTGGATTGTCTCCACTTGGACTGATGAGAGGACGGAGGGCTCTGAGCTGAGAAATAGGGATGGAGGCCCCTCTTTACCTGCCCTTATCTTCTGGGAAGGTGAAGGTGAGGGGTAGGAGTAAGGAGATGGGGCCATTCCTGGTTGAGAAAGCGAATGAACACAACTGGAATTCGGGGGTCTGCTCCTAATGGGGGAGGGCTGGTTGGCGCCCCTGAACCTGCCGCAGAATGAGCAGCGTGTCCGGTGAGGAAGGCACTGGGCAGGCTCGTGGGCCCTCTGGCGAGCCTGGCCCTGGCCACGCCGTGCGCCCTCCCCTCCCTCTCTGGTGCCCTCATCTCGGCCCCTTGGCAGCTCTTCTTGAACTTGTTTTTCCAAATCACTAATTAACTTCACACTTGAGCTCCCAGGTGTGCTGAGTCTCCTGGCTAACTTCCCCTCGGAGAGAGCAAACTCCTGCTTCCCATGCTTCCTGGCGGAGCTGGGATGTGCCGTCCTATCCCTCCCCCAGCCCTCTCTGCTTTGGGGTTGGGGGCAGCGCCAGGACTCTGGGTTCCCAGTCTCACTGTGGCCTGTGGGCAGACATCCCTTGCAGCTCTGCTCCGGAAGGCCATGGAGAACCCGCAGGCCCTTGTCACCCTGTAATCCCCTGATAACCCCCATTTCTCAGGGGAAGAAGAATACGCCAGAAAAGGAACTTGAAATTTACTTTCACAGGGGAGAAGTCCAAGGCAAAGTTATTAAGTGGGACAGCGATTCTGTGGTTCAGTCCCTCACCCCACTCCTCTGTGCCTTATCCGATCCACCCATCCATACCCCGGGGGAAGATAAGTCTTGGTGTACATGGTGTCTGCTCTATGCCAGAGGTACTTAACCTCAGGGCTGAAATAGGCGCAGCCTGGAAGCATTATCAGTCATTCCAAGAAGTCTTTCCCATGAATTGACCCTGCCTGGGGTGAAGCAAAGCTAGAGCGCTGAGTTCAAGTCTAGTTTCCATCCCTTCCATGCTGTGTGACTGCAGGCAAATTTATAAGCCTCTCTGATCCTCAATTCCACTTTCATAAAAAAATGGGATGATGAGGCCAACCTCCTAGGTCACTGGGAGGACTGAAGGTAGTAACACATGCACAGTACCCAGCTGTGCCGGGGTGGGGGGAGCAGCTATTGAAGCCTCCTACTCTCAGCTCCCTGCATAGACTTGCTCCTCCTGCTTCTGGAACCCTGGAGGTGCTTTTTGTTTCATTTCCCTAGGACCCCAGTTTTCCCTACTGGTGTTCTGCAGCACTAAAAACGAGGTATGCACCCCTCCCTGCAGTGCAGCCTGCAGTGTAGTGCAGAAAAGCACTTCTGCAAGGCCGAGAGGGCGGCACCATGATCAGGTGGAAATTGGGGTGGGGTAGCCATGGGGCCTTCCTAGTGGTTGTGGGGTCCTTTCATCCTCCTGTGTAGGCTCAGCCCTCTGCTTAGGCCCACCCTATCCACCAAGCAGGGCAGCAGTAGTGGGGGCAGGGACCCCAGGAACTCCCTGATGGTGGTGAGTGGCATTGCATGAATAACAGATGAAGCCTCCACAATGGGTGTTATTACGTGCATTTCATCTCCATTCATGACCATGGGACACTCAGCCCCTTTCTCTCCACTGTCACCACTCTAGCCAGATCCCAGCAGCCGATCAGCCGCTGCCTCTCTTGGACCCCAGGGGGTACGGTCTATTTTTCTTTGGCGCTCAGGGAAATGTCAGTTCTCAGGATGGGGAAGGCTGGTTATTTGGGCAGACCACGCTCTTCCTGCCTCGCAGTCTGTTGTCTTCCTTCGGAGGCTTCTCACTGTCTGGGAGTCAGCCGGGAATCCTAAGGGGAGAAGTAAAAGAGAGGGAGTGGGACTTGGGGCGTGGGGCGGCAGGGCCTGGCTGGCAGGAGGAGGCCCCAGGTCATTCCTGCTAGCCCCAGCCTCTGGGTATACATACCCCACACTGCAGTGGACTCCAGACTCTCACATGCATCAGAATTACCTGGAAGGCTGGGCCCGACCCTAGCTTTTCTCATTCACTGGGTTTGCATGGGGCCTGAGCATTGCATTTCTCACTCCCTGCTGCTGCTGGTCCGGGACGCCACTTTGGGGAGCCTCCTTCCTCCAGGTCTGGTCTGAGCCCAAGCAGACTCAGCCCAGAGCTCTTTGGAAATGCAGACTCACAGGCCCTGCCCTTAACTTCCTGAATCAGAATCACATTTAACAAGATTCCCAGATGATTTCTGTGCCAGTTAAAGAATCATTAACACACATCTGGCTAGAAGTGGGCAGGGCTAGGCAGTGGGTTCAGTTCCTTCCAGCAGGAGCAGCCTGGAGTTTCTGTGCAGTGACAGGGGTTAGGAAGTGCTGCCTTAGAGCACCCAAGCCGACGGTAAAGACCCTCTGAGGAGGGAATTCCAGCCTGACAGTGCTGTAATCTCACCCCCCACCATCGAACGGACTGCCTGGTGACCCACCTTCCAGGAGCAGAGAGTGTCCTCCCCTGGCCCTGCCTGACCCATTCAGCCCTGTCCCTACCCGGCCCACCTAGCTCTGACTGGCCCAGCCCACCCACCCCTACCTGCCCTGCTCTTGCCTGGCCCACCTACCCCTTCCTGCTAGCCACTTGGCCCTCCCAGCCCTCCCTGACAGCTGCCCCCACTTTCCTTCCCACCGCAGGTGGTGGCCTTTACCTCTCTCTTCTTCATCCTGGTCTCCATCACCACCTTCTGCCTGGAGACCCACGAGGCCTTCAACATAGATCGCAACGTAACTGAGATCCACCGCGTGGGGAACATCACCAGCGTGCGCTTCCGGCGGGAGGTGGAGACGGAGCCCATCCTGACCTACATCGAGGGCGTGTGCGTGCTGTGGTTCACGCTGGAGTTCCTGGTCCGCATCGTGTGCTGCCCCGACACGCTGGACTTCGTCAAGAACCTGCTCAACATCATCGACTTCGTGGCCATCCTGCCCTTCTACCTGGAGGTGGGGCTGAGCGGGCTGTCGTCCAAGGCGGCCCGCGACGTGCTGGGCTTCCTGCGGGTGGTCCGCTTCGTGCGCATCCTGCGCATCTTCAAGCTCACGCGCCACTTCGTGGGGCTGCGCGTGCTGGGCCACACGCTCCGTGCCAGCACCAACGAGTTCCTGCTGCTCATCATCTTCCTGGCCCTGGGCGTGCTCATTTTCGCCACCATGATCTACTACGCCGAGCGCATCGGCGCCAGGCCCTCCGACCCACGGGGCAACGACCACACCGACTTCAAGAACATCCCCATCGGCTTCTGGTGGGCTGTGGTCACCATGACCACGCTGGGCTATGGAGACATGTACCCCAAGACGTGGTCGGGCATGCTGGTGGGGGCGCTGTGTGCCCTGGCCGGGGTGCTCACCATTGCCATGCCGGTGCCTGTCATCGTCAACAACTTCGGCATGTACTACTCGCTGGCCATGGCCAAGCAGAAGCTGCCCAAGAAACGGAAGAAGCATGTGCCGCGGCCGCCCCAGCTGGAATCCCCCATTTACTGCAAGTCGGAGGAGACCTCGCCTCGGGACAGCACCTACAGCGACGCCAGCCCTCCTGCCCCGGAAGAAGGTGTGGTCGAGAGGAAACGGGCAGGTGAGATTGGGGGTTAGAAAGCAAGCCGCCCCCCTTGGCTGTGGGAGCCCCCCAGGTGAACCTCAGCTCTCGGGATTTGAGGTTGTGCTTTATTGCCCCGAGCTTCCCTGCCTCTAGTGACAGAGGGCAAAGGGTTAAGGCGGATAGCTGTATCCTCTGGCTCTCTGGTAACTCCCTATGCGTCAGGGTCTGTGGCGTGGGTTTCCCACCCACATTGTGCAGCAACGGGCTGCAAATTAGAAGCCTGGGTTTTAATCCCATCTTGGCCACCGGGCCCTGAGACCAGTAGGTCACCCGCTCTGGCCTTAGATTCCCCACCTGTAATGATGGAAGTGTTAATATTCTACCCCCAAGACTTCGGTCAGACTCAAATGAATGCCAGATAGGAAAGTGCTTAAGTTAAAGCCACTTTACAAAGATCAGGCGCTGTCATTATTAGCGAGAGAGCAGGGCAGCTGTTCTCCCAAGGTGCATCAACGCATGAATCATTTCTTCCCGAACGTTCGAGTCTGGTGTCTCTTGGCCTAATAAATGTGATAACGTAACAGCAGTGGGAGGCTGCCTTCTGTTGCATACAAGCTAGATTGAGTCCTGGGCTCGAGGTTTAACTGGGATGGAAGGGAATGAAAAGGGAGTGTCTGGCAACAGGGGAGAATCTGGTATCTGCAGCCTGGAAGGGGGGTGTCTGAGGGGCTTGAGCCTATTTTTCAAGCATGAGAAAGGCCACCCCAGAAAGCTTGCATAAAGAAATAGGAGAGAAAATTGACTGAATCCATAGCAACAGGGAGTTAGGTTGGAGGCTGGGAACCTAACTGATAGGTACCTGAGAGAGGTTTGGGATTCCCTTTGGGTGCCAAGCATTGGCAGGGGCAGGAGGATGAAGGAGACTAAGGGAGCACTTCCAGGCAAGGCTCTGGAAGCAAAGTAGACTCGTCCTGCAGGGGAGGTACCTGGCTCAGGGCACCTACCTGCCCCATTGTTGGGTGTTCAGTGTACATGCTGGGGCTACTCATTCCCTAAGGTCTCTTGGGGCCTGGGTCTTCCAAAGACCCTGATGGAAGTGTTTCCGTCAGGTTCATCTCATCCCCCCACCAGAGTGGTACCCCCTTCCCTTATCCCTGAATAGAAATCCCCCAAACAGTGCCCCCAGGAATCACAGGTGTACCCTGAGGTCCATTCAGGGCTCAGAGGGAACCTAGCAGCAAAATGCACAAGTCCCTAGGCCACTCCTCAAGTCACGCTTACCTCTAGGCCTGTCAGCTATGCTCTGAGCCAGACCCTAACTGCTAGGATGCAGTTAGGGCTTTCCTGGCCAGTGCTGGGGCCACTGCCTTCAGGCTGAGCAGCCCCCTTCTCCAGATCCAAGGGCCCACCTTCACCTGTGCTGCTGCCTGATGAACAGGGGCTTGGAAGTTGGGGCCCACAGCAGTATTGGGGCCTCTTCCCCTCTGAGTCCTCTCCAGACAAGCCGGGGGGGCAGGTGCCTGAGAACAGAAGACTAAATCCTTTGGGTGCTTGATTCTGCTTGGCTGCTGGGTAAACAAGAATAACTTTCAGGTGCTTTCAGGTGGTCCAGGAAGCAGCTGTGTGAGCTGCCCTGTTGGTTTAACCATGGAGCGCCCCCATTCACCACACAGGCCAGGCCTTATCCCCGGCAATGCAGACTCATCCAAGAGTCAGCCTGAGACAGCCCCAAGGAGGAAGCCGGCTGCCGCCTGCTTTGGGCTGACCTCATGGGGTTGCCAGCAGCGGGCCAACTTGGGAAGTCCCTGCTTCAAGCACTCTGGGCTGTGGCCCCATTTTCTGGGAGAGATGCTGGCCCAGGCAGCCTTCAGACCCAGCACAGCATCCTGGCCCTGCCCCCTGTGTCCTCAGGCCTCCACCCCAGCTCCAGCAGCATTCCTTCACAGTCAGGCCTCTGCTCTCTGGGTATGGGTGAGAGACCCCGGGAGGCCTGAGGAGGGGGGCCTAGGCAGCCCCTCATGCAGCCTCCTCTGTCTGCCCCCTTTAGACTCCAAGCAGAACGGCGATGCCAATGCGGTGCTGTCAGATGAGGAGGGAGCTGGCCTCACCCAGCCCCTGGCCTCTGCCCCCACCCCTGAGGAACGCCGAGCCCTGCGACGCGCCGGCACCCGTGACAGGAACAAGAAAGCCGCTGCCTGCTTCCTGCTCAGCGCGGGGGACTATGCCTGTGCCGATGGTAGTGTCCGCAAAGGTATGGCTCCCCAGGCCGGGCAGGTGGGGAGCCCACACGGAGTAGCGCCTCCCCAGTGTGCCCCACAAAGTGTGAGGTCTCCTCCTCCCCTGAGGCCGTGGCCACCATCTCCTCTGCCTTGGACGCGCCCCCGCTTTTAGGAAGGGTGCCCTGAGCTCTCAGTCCCTGAATTAGAAAGGCTTCCACATCCCCAGAAGTACACAGAGCCTGCCCTTCACCCCCAGGTGCCCACAGGGACGATGAGGCCAAGGGGACACCAGATCACCTTCTCTTTCTTTGGTTTCTGCCACCTTCGGGCCTGACCACAGGTCACTGCCACCTTCCCCTAGTCCTTTAGAAAAATGAGGGCTTCCCCAAAGAAGGAGCCACCAAGGACGGTCAGGAGTCAGGGTGAGGAAGAGGTGCTGATTCGAGCTCTTCAGCGTAGAGGGCAGGCCCACATCCTCCCGCCTCCCTGGGGTCCTGGAGCCCAGGAGGGGCTGCCCAGCTCTCCTGGCACCCGGATGTGGTCCTCTGAGGCAAAGCCAGAAGGCGACCAGGCGGTGGGAGTGCCAGGGAGAGAGGGTCCCCTTGGCGGGCTGTTCTGAAGGATTCGGAGGGTTCCAGCTGTAGCCCATGCCCATCTGACAGGGAAGGCTGAGACCCCATCCGCTGGCCTCAAACAGAGGCTGGGTGGTGGAGCCCACAGAAGGGGCCAGGAATGATCGAGGCAGTTGAGAACTGACGGTGGCTGAGAACCAGAGCTCTCAAAACCGAGCGCCCCTGCCCAGTTCCTGATCTTTTTCTTAGGTCACATGCACTGGCCCTGTGACCTAACCCCCCTAGTGGCCTGCCCGGCTTCCAGATAACACTGAGCACCCCCAAAACAAAACATTCCCCTGGGTTTTCAGACTGCTTCTTAACCAGCCCTCTTTGCAGCCAAATCTCTGTCCCCTCCCCCCCACCCCCCGCACTCTTCCCACTGTCCCGAAACTTCACATCAGGATGGGTTGTGTTAGGGGCAGTAGCTGCTGTGAGAATAGCCTGTGATGCCCCGTCCTCCCGAGGATGTCCCCGACCTGCTCATCTGTCAGCCTCCCGGGCACCTGCCCAGGACCTTTCCTGGTGCTGTCGGTGCCACTGTTCCCACAGGACTCCCAGGTCATCCTCGCCCTAACCAGGCCCGTGAGAGGTGTGTCCAGCCTTGCAGGGCCTGTGTCCTCTTGGGTGGCAGGAGCAGGGATCTGGCTTCTGGAAGACGATGACCCAGAGGCTCCAGCTGAATGCTGCAGGCGGAATGTGCTCAGACTACTTAGACCCTCTCCAGGGTCCTCTGGTCCCCCCTGGCCACTGTGCACCCCAGTCCTCAGCCTCTCGATGTGCCTGTCTCCCCTGCTCCCACCCAGCCACATAGTAACTTCCACTGTGTCCTTGTTCAGACCCCGTCTCTATGGCTGGAGCAGGCTTAGCTGGTTTAGAATGTGGGACAGGGGTCCCCAGCCCCCAAGTAGAACTTGAGTCAATAGAGCTGAGTGCTGAGCACCCCTGGTTTTATCCCAGTATTGTGAGGGGAAGAGTGGAAGAGGCTATGAGGATGTAAGTCAGAGGAGGGACCGTGAGGGCCTGGGGAGCCCATGGCACCCGGGAAAAGGGCTGCACGTGTGCGTGCATGGGATGGGGGTGCCTGTGTCCCACCACCGTATCGCTGGGTGCTTGTGGGACCCAGCTGCTCTATTTCCAAGATGCCTCCACACTGCTTCTTGGCAACAAGTATGTAGCTCAGCCAATTAGAGTGACCTTCGAGAGGGAACAGGTGGGTTGCTGGGAAACAGGGCCTGCTAAGCAAGTGTGGCAGTTAGCATCGCCAAACTCCCAGCGCGCACTCGGCAACTTTCCCTACACCAGACCACACCGCACGCTTCTCTGTGCTCGCTCGGGCTGCACGCAGGACTAGGAGCCCGTGGGCCCGGCCTCCTCCAGCCGCTGGCACAGGTGCACCCCTAACCTGTAGCTGCTCAGGAGTCAGCGTGTGTGCTCGCTGGGAGGATGGTGGCCGGTACCTACTGGGACTTCTTAGGCTCCAGAAAGGAGTGTGTTGGAGGCTTTGGGGTCTCCGTGCAGCTGGAGGGAACTTAACCTGGGGACAGTGACAAGGCAAAGGTCAGCTGGGTGTGAGGGCCCTGGAGTCTGTTCTCAGGAGCCCAGGGGACCCTGAGACCAGGGAAAGTCAGGGAGCTTCCCAGGTGGGCTAGCCTGCCTGTGTGCCCAGCAGAGCCCCCCTGGAGTGTGGCTCCATCCCATGGGAGCTGCTCAGGCCGGGAACCGCTCCCCTCTGACCCCTGTGCCTTTTCTTCACCAAGGCTGTGAACAGTCCCGGAGTCTAAACAACATAGCAGTTGCTGCTGGAACCAGTCTGGGGCTGTCTCCACTGGCATCGCGACACAGCTCGCCCTACCCTCAGAGAAAGCTGCTCTCCCACCCCTTCCACCCCCTCCCCAGCCCGCCGCCGGGACACTCGGCTCCGTAGCCGCAGCCAGGGCTCCCCAGCCCCGGGCACAGACAGGCACACTCACATGCCCCATGCTCCCTGGGGCCCAGGGCTGCCGGGCAGGATGCAGGAGAATTCAGGCCTCTGAGCCTCTCCTCCACAGCAGCCGGCTCCCCAAAATGTTCAGCTCTGGAGCCTGAAAGCGAGGCAGGGAGATTCCTCTCAGGACTTCTGCCCCACCTGCCTCCATCTTGAGCTGGAAGTGCTGGCACCCAGGACCTTCCTCTCTGGGCACTGCTCTCTCTCAGGGTCCTGCCCAATCACAGCAAATGCATATGCATTCCTCGTGGCCTTCAGCTAGTCACCAAACAACCTACAGTTGCACATCTCTGTCTGTCTGTCTGTCCATCCCACACGCAAGGAATAAGGCTGTTCCCTTGGGGAGCCTCTGTGGTGGTGGGGGGGGTGCATGAGCCTTAGGAGCAGTGCCGTCCTGAGGGAAGACACCTGTTCTGGTCTGCGGGCACAGGTTGGGGTGCCTGGAGTGGGAGCCCCAGACTACCTTGACAGGGGATGCCTCCCCTCTGAGGCCCCAGGTTCAGAGGGTGACACCCAGTGGCCGCGCCAGGCCTCCCATCTGCTCGCAGAGCGGTGGCATCTCTCACCACGCTGCTTCCTCTGCTTCCACGACAGTTTTTCTTCGCTCTCCCGCTCCCCCAAACTCCCAGCCCTGCTTCTGAGTCACCTGCCTCTCCGCCAGCCTCTGCGCTCTGTATTCCTGCCAGAACCGGAGACTCATCTAATTTCTATAATTAAGTGTATTCATTTACCTAACGAGCCTGGGGGTACAACAGGTTTGTGAGTCACTGAGTGAGCAGGGGTGCACCCTGGGCAGGGGCAGCTGAGGGAAAGTGGGGACAGAAGCCATCCTGCCCCCCGCCTGCTCCGGGCCCAGGGAGGGCGAGGCGCAGGGGACCCCTGCTCCAAGTAGCGCCTGTGCGAGGCTCTCCAGCCCTCCCCAGCCCCGGGAGTACCTCGCGCAGACATTTCCTGTTTCACCTGAAGGGAATTAGACCTGACAGCGGAGTCGTGCGCCTGGCAATTTTTAGAGTCAGATTATGCAACTTTGTGAGGGAATGATTCAGGAAGGTCCGTATCTGCTCCTTCCAGGGTGAGCAAAGATGGGTATGGCAAGACAGGCTTTGGGGAGTCGGCAGGAGGCGGGGGCATCTGGGGGCCGCCTCGGAACATGAATGGGATGGAAAGATGAGATGGCTCGTTGTGGGGTTGGGGTTTCTGAGAAGCCTGCTCCAGGAGCATCCCGTTCCAGTGTCGTCTTCAGCTTTGGGCAGACAGGGAATGTCCCTTCCAGAAAGGTCTAGTCCAGGTGGGCACTGGATTCCCCAGCCCTGCTATTTGGTGTCCTGCTAAGGGTTGAGAAGATACAGAGGTAGCCTCGTGACTGCCCTTCAAAAAGTGACAGGCCCCTGTGGGGACAGGGAAACCGGGGCACCCCTCCCCTCATAGCAGGTCTGAGAGCCCAGCCACCTCTTCATGGGACAGATTTAGTCCTGTCCCTGCAGAGCGTCCTGACCCCAGGCCCTGGCTGTGGCCGGGACACGATGAGCCCGGTGCCCTGAGTAGCACGGGAGCCGCTGCTGTTTTCTTCTGACTTGCCTTCCTGGTTTGGGGAACCGAGGCGGCTATTTCTGTGGCAGCCCTCAAGTTGTCAGGAGCCCAAGTTTCCACGGCACCCACCGCCTCCTTCCCTCTCTTCCCTCCTACAGGGATGGGCATGCTCACGGCACCCCTATGGTGGGCACAGATGTCCCTGGGCGACACGTTGCAGGAGTGCCAGGCTGGAGCCCCTAGTGCCTTGGGAGGTGGCTCCCACGTGTCCCTCCTCACCCGGTGGCTTCTGTCAGGGGAGACACAGGACCTGGCCAAGGGGGCAGCTGAGGAGGCTGGACCCTCCCAGGGCCCAGGAAAGGACAAAGTGAGCCTTGGCATTTACAGCTGCCTGCTGTGCACTGGGCTCTGCTTGCACAGGCCTCAGGCTCACCCAGGCCATCAGCCTCCCTGCTCCTGGGAAGGTCCTTCTTCTCACCCACAATCTGCTTTACCTTGGATCTAGACGTAGGCCTGTGGGCATATGTTTGACTTCTGGAAGTCTTTCTCACACAGCAGGGGCCTGCCCCTCTTCAGAACAGGGGAGCGGCCCAGGTAGAAGTGGTTAACTTACTTCTAGTGGTACCAGGGCTACTGACAACCACAGAGGCCTCTTCTCACCCCCTCAGGCTCCTGAGAGGTTGTGGCTCTGAGTTGGAACTAGAGGGCAAATACCTGTTTAGCCAAGAGCCCAGAGGAAGTCAAATGGGAGGTTGCATCCCTGCCCGAAGACTGGGGCTCCTGGAGGTACCCTGGGGCTGGACCGCCCTTTCAGAGCTCCCTGGGAGAGAGGACCTCCTCTGTCCTGGCCAGTATCACGCTCTGAAATCTTGTGTTAGCTGCTTAGTTTCCCGCACTGGGAAGGTCAGAGAAGGGATAGGCCACTGATAACTCAGGCTGAGGATGGGATGCCACAATGGGTTCTCTGGGTTGGGTTTCTCAGTAAGATGCTATTTTCTGGCCTCTCCTGACATGGCCACATTCATCCTCCCTGACCTTCCCTGTCTGCATTCCCCTGCTAGCTGCTGAGACTCAGTTCCTGCCAGCTTGAGGGAGGGGGGCTGGGCACGGCATGGTGGCAGACTCCAGAGCCTCCTTTACCCACTCTGGGCCAATAGACTAGCCCCTGGTGGTGATGGCAGGTGGTGCTATGTCAGGGGAGTCCGAGTTGGGCAGAAAGGGGTCTAGGGACCGCCTGTGGGCTACAGTCTATACCAAGCACCTTACCATTGCCTCCATGCCAGGCTGCAGCACTATGGCCTCTCTTCCCTTCACATTGGACCTTTGATCACCTGGGGGCTAGTGGGTCCTGAAGCTCATTACCTGAGCAGGTGTGGAGATGAGCTGTCACATCACCTAGGAGACACCTTGGCCCACTGCTGGGTCAGCAGAGGGGTGATGAAGGGGCTCAACCCATCCCTGCCCCATCCCTGCTCTTCTGGCCTCCTAGCCCTGGGCCCCCATGTTTCCCAGCCCTGCTCCTGGCCTGCTCCTTAGCCCACATCCTGTGGGCTGGTAGCTGGCTTCCTTCTAATGTCTTATTCTTTGTTTCTCCCTCTCTTTTGCTGAACCCCTTGTCCCCACCCCCCCAACCCCAGAAGGCAGTGTTGAGCCGAAAGCGTGCGTCCCAGTGTCTCACACCTGTGCTCTTTAAACACAGAGACCTGCCAAGACGCCCTCTCGTCCAACTATGCCCAGGCCGAAGTCCTCACCCTCTCTTAAAGCGGCACCAGCGTGAGAGAGACAGGCAGACAGACAGAAAGCCAGAGGCTTAGGGAAACTCTGGAACCCAGGCAAGAATCTTTCGCTGGGAAGGACTCAGATATCCTTGTTTGCACAGGACTGGCGGAAAACCTCCCATGTGACCCTCGGGTCCCGGAGCCATCCGGGCCTGATGTTCTGTTCTGTTGTACATTGAAGAGATATATATGCACATATAGTATCTATATTCATACATACTATACTCTCGTGTGTAGTGCACGTGCTACTGGTGGTCTGTTTTCTTTGTTAGGCTGTGTCTCCCCAGCCCCTGGCCCACCCCAGGCTGTCGCTCCCCTCCCCCCACTGGCCCCTTGTTTCTGCTGAATGTGAGTGGAGTGTCCCAGGAGTAGTGTCCCTGGGACTGCCAGTCCAGCTGGGTGGTCCCAGACAGACTCTCCCTCTTAGGGGTAGTTCCCCTGTGGGCAGGTGGCCTGCTGGAGGCCAGATTGCTCCTGAGGGTCACTGCTTCATTAGCCCCACCCCACCCCAGATTGGGGCTCTACCTCCCACCCCATGCCTCAGTTGTGGGGGACTTTCAGGGGCTCCTCTGCAGCTGTTCCTACTCCTTCCTCCACCTTACCTGTGTCCTCCACAGAGGGGGCGTTTTGTCTTTTTGTTTTATTTTATTATTTTGTTCTGTCTCCTTTGTCCATTTGTTTTCAAAGATGCTGCTGGGCAGACGGGCAGGGAAGGGGTCTGTCTGCCCATCTGGCTCAGGGGTCTGAGAAGGGGAAGCCTCGGGCGAGCGGAGACCAGTTGCAATACTGTACTTCCTGGCCGGTGGCCAGAGGATGTGTGCAATAGCAGAGGTCAGGGGGCCCCTTCGACCTTGGCCTCTGCCCCTCCCTTGGCCCTTCTTCCCTCCCCCTCAGCCCTCCCTGCCCCTCCCTGGTGTCAGTCAGTCCTTTTCTAAAGCTGTCCCCTCGTGTGTGTCTCAGGCGTGCCCAGGCCGGGCCCTGCTGCCCTGTCCGCATGCCTTCGACTGTCATGCTGTGCTCGAGCCCCAATAAAGACATCTGGAGCACCCTGTGTGTACGTGACTGCCTCTGCCTCTCCTTTCTGGCTCTGTGTCTGCGGGGACCTCCTGGGGCTTCCACCCCAGTACCTGAGCAAGGCAACACACACCTGTCACTCTCTCCACCCCTGGACTCACCAGAGGCAGCTGAGCTCCTGACTTAGTGCTGGACACTTCTGTTCAGTGGGGAGGTCCCTGCCCCAGGTCGCAGGAGGTGGAGAAATAGAGGTTTGGGCTCTAGGACCTCTGGACCTCTAGGACCTTTGGATCTAGGACCTCTGGCTCCCGGGCAGGTCTGAGCTGTGCACCACCCGCCCCCGCAGGACACGAGAAGACCCGATTGTCTAGGGAATGCCCCGTCTCCCTTCCTTCCTCCCTGAAATGGCTCCGTTCTATGTGGGCCAAGGCCCGGGGGATGCCAGGCGTGGCGATGACTGCATGGCTGATGAACTGAGGCTGCCACTAGGGCCACCCAGAGATGGGGAGTGAGGGCATCCTGGCCCAGAGGAAGGGGTGGTGGGGAGCTATGATCAGGTATGCTCACTGGTCACCCCTCACTCACATGGGGGTGCACACTGTACCTCTTGTGCTGTCGCTCTTAAGAGGGCCCCATGCTTGGCTGCCTGCTCAGCCATTGCCATCTTGAAATTACTAACAATCATTGAAAAGGGGGTCCTGCAGCCTCCCCTTACGCTTTTCTTACTCCTGAGTCTTGGCCTTTGCTCCAGGTGTAAACTCAGGGGCCTCAGGGCAAAGTCTCCATTTGCTATTTACTAGTTGGGTAACTTGGGGCGATGCCCTGAATCAGCTTCTTATAGAATGGGGATAATGATCACCCCTATTTAGAGACTACAGACCTCACCCCCTGTCCTGCGTCCACACATGACAGAGTGGATGCTCAGTGTCACCCCCCCCTTCCCATAGCTCTCAGGCTTTTCCGCACAGGTTTCTGAACATGTCCTGTCACAGCAAGAAAGGACAAGAGCCCCCAGGGGAGCAGGAGGTGGGAATGGCGGCACTGAGGGGAGGGAAGAAGCAAGGAAACTGTTCCTGAAGCTAAGCAGGAGAGAGAATGGGGCTGCTAGCCTGGGCCCTGGAGGTGAGGCCAGGCCAGGCGTGGCAGGCAGCCAGTTGTCAATTAAAGATAAAATCTCTCCTCCAGCAGGGGAGGGCAAGTAGGGGCTGCAACCCCCCCCCCCCCAGAAAGCCATTTGCAGCCAGGCTCGCCTCGGAGCAGCTTGGCCGAGCGATAATGGGATGGGATGCGCTGCTGGCTCCGTAATGATATTACGCATCAGGGCCCACGTCCAGAATGGCTGTTTTTTTGATTTTTTTTTTTGTAGCTCAATGTGGAGCTGTTTCATGATCAGGGCCTAAGAACCCAGGCCATAGCCTGGGGTACCAGATGCCAGGGTGGATCTAAGGGAAACAAGGAGGTTCAGCTGGGGTCCTGGTGATACCTTCAGACCCCTGGGGGGGGGGGCGTGGGAGCGGGGTCAGAGATTCCATGGGAAGCTGGAGACAGCCCCTCCTCCCACCTCCAAGTAGCAGGCAGGGCCATCAAGGAAGAAGAAGCTCTGGCTTCCTCTAGTCCCCAAAGCTGGAGTTGAGCCCAAACTAGGGAGCTGGTTAAAAGAACAGGATGCTGGAGGCATCAAGGCAGACTGGCAATCAGACTGAAGCTGGAATGCTGGCTCCATTGCTCCCTAGTTGTGGGGCCTGGGGCAAGTTAACTATCTGAACCTTTATTTCTCCATCTGTTCAATGGGAATAATAATAGTATGTGAGACAGCGCGTAGCACATAACCGTTGTTAGTAGATATTGGGGGGTGGGGAGTAATAAGAAACAACTCACCCTGGTAGCAGGTGTCCAGTTTGGTTTGGGGGCCTCAAAGAGGTGTGATGAATTGTCTTACTTCAGGGAAGGCCTTATCTCCTTTGGGAAATGACAGTGGGGATGCTCTAGAAAACTCTCACTTCCTGGGTGCCTAGCAGTTCATCTAATGCTTCTAAAAACACGTTCCAAGGCTGGTTGTATCATCATCACCATTCCCCAGAGGAGAAAACTGCAGCATGGCAATGTCAGGTCATTTCTCCAAGGTCACACAGCCAGCAAGTGGCAACGCTGAGATTCAAACCCAAGCAGTGTGGCTGGGTTCAAACCCAAGGAGCAAAGCCCAGTGCTGGGCTTAGCTGCTCTCTAAAAAGAACAGAGCTTCTGAGTGCTAACCACTAGGGTAGGGATTTGTGTTTTTTAATAGTTTTCATGTCACCTGATTTCTTTCATCACTGCTCCTCATAGTATGGTAACGTTTTCCCCTCTTACAGATACGCAGGCCGAGGCTGGAGGAGGTGAGGGACGCGGGCCCTCCCCTGTGAGGGATGCCTTCTCAGCTTCATGAGTGAGCAGGAGCTAATGCCCAGTGCAGGGAGGACTCAGTTCCTTCCTCTGCACCTCACTGAGTCTTGTCACCGGTGTCAGATGGGGGTGACTGCGGTGGGGGAACGACCTGGAAAGCAGCCTTTTAGCCTGACAAAGAAACACAATCCTCACCTTCCAATATTTGAAAAGCATCGAGGACAAGTGGATTTAGATTAGTCTCTGATCCCAAGAGAGCAGAACCGGGACCAGCAGGGGGAAATGTGAGGGAGGCAGATTGGATTCAAATAGGGGAGAACCTTACTTGGTCCTGGTTCCCTAACCATTACAGATCTGATCCCCACCGCTGGGCACATCCCTTACCAAGCTCGCAGGGAAGCCTCCACCCTCAGTCCCTCACCTCCTGGACGGTGAAAGAGAAGCTTCCTAACAAAACTGCTGAATGGGAAAGCGCCACCCTGCTGGGTGGTGAAGTCAGTTCCTGGGAGTTTGGGGAGACGCTGACCTCCTATAGAGGCTGGTGGAAAGAATTTCTGCTCTGGGTGGGAGGTTGAATTTAAAGCCCTGCCTTTCCCATCTCTAAGCTGTTCTCACTCGCATGGGGCCACACAGCCAATTAGCGGTGGAGGCAGGTCCAGAGCACAGGTTCTTGGCACAGGAGTCAGACAAGCCCCTTCCCCAGCATGAGCCCCTCAGAGCCCTTAGCCGTAGCGTGGGATCCCCTGCTTCCCAGCCCCTTGGCCTCTTCCCAGCCGGCTGTGGGTCCGCGCCAGGGTGATCAGCCTTTGTGGTGCGTCGTGACAAGCATGACTGGGTGGGTGCCCTGGGCTTGAATTGACAACATGTCGTCAGTTCCTACCCCTACAGCCTCCGGGGCCCCAACTGCTCGACAGCAAGCCCCTGCCTTCATTGCCCAGCTCACACTCAGGAACCCACACAACAGGTGGCACACAAGCTGGCCCCGTCACCTGGGGCTGTGGGAACCACACCCACACCCCTGACTGCACGCCTTGCTCTAGAGGCCAGGAAGGACTGCGGGGCACTCTGGCATCTGCTCTCTCCTGGGCAACCTCAGTTGGGCCTGACTGCAGCATTTCAGGCTGAGCAGAGGGAGCCGGGGAGATGGCTGGGAGCGCGGGGCAGCGGGCCAAGGCCTGATGTTGGGGCTAGAAGCTTCCCCTTTCTCTACAGGACTGCAGGGCCAGCCCCCTCCCCGTGCCATGTTTGGCTGCATCTACAGTTACTCCCTAAGTGTATCCCAGAATGCAGGGCTCTGCCATTTGCTGAGTTAGGGCCTCTGCTTTCTTAATCAGCAATTTCTCCCATGGGGAGAGGGGGTGACTGGGGTGGGCGGGAGTTCCTTTCTCCACACACTTCCCTAGGGGACCTCATCCACTCCCATAGGCTTAAACACTTTCCAAGCACTAGTTACAGCCACATTTTTAATTCCAGCCGAGAACTCTCAGCTGCGTTCATTCATTCATTCAACAAACA